ATTCTGCTCAAGTTAAACTCACATTCTGCTCAAGTTAAACTCACATTATGGTTCTGAGGAAACCACAGCTCATCCCAAATGGAATATTGGGTGGTTATTGCAGTGCCAGGGGTCAGGCTGGAATTCTGGCACATCTGGTTTGCTTCTGATGTGATAAGTAAAAAAAAAACAAGCTGTAAACACAAATCCTGGAGTTGTCTCAAGGCTAAGTTGAGTCTCTGGTTGTTAAAAACCAGAATATTAGAAAGATACTCTGAGTAGGAAACATTAAAGATACTCTGAATAGGAACATTAAAGATCCTCTGAGTAGGAACATTAAAGATCCTCTGAGTAGGAACATTAAAGATCCTCTGAGTAGGCACATTAAAGATCCTCTGAGTAGGAAACATTAAAGATCCTCTGAGCAGGAAACATTAAAGATACCCTGAGTACTTCATACAAAACAAATCAGCTTCTGCTTCTTCACTCCTTCACACAAAGCTCTGCTGCTACAGGGTCATTGCAGCAATAGTAGAAAAGGTTTGCTGAGCATTAAATATTATAAAACACATTGATATGAAAGGTTAAATATTATAAAACACGTTGATATGAAGGTTTTATGAGGAGGGCATTGACTGCTCTGCACTTCCCCAGTACAGCAACCGTGTCACAGTTGTGACTTCCACTCAGAAAAGTGGAAATAAATGGTTGAGTTTTCCAAGAAAGTTGAATTTTTTAATCCATAAGTGTTGGTACATGAGTGGAATGAGGACTGCAGCCTGTCCCAGTGAGATTGGTCATTTTTAATGGGCATTAAGCAAACACTTCTCAGTTCTTTGGTGGTTCTTTTGCAGATCAGGATGGAGATAAGAAGCTCACCCTCTCCGAGTTCATTTCCTTACCTGTTGGCACCGTGGAGAACCAGCAGGCTCAGGACATTGATGATGACTGGGTGAAAGACAGGAGGAAGGAGTTTGAGGAGGTCATTGATGCCAATCATGATGGGATTGTCACCATGGAGGAGCTGGAGGTGAGTTTCCTAATTATTTAAACCCCAACACTTTTAAAACACAGCGTTGAAACAGCTGGAGAGAACACAAAATCCCCAAATATTCCAATTATTAGTACAACCCCGTGGTTTATAGTGCTCTGTGGGGCTTGCAGATGCTGTTATGATTTTAATTAAAGAGGAGGGGGAGTTTTTTTAACCAAACTGTTGTTCAGGGCTTTGCTTTGAGGGTTTTTTTTGTCCCACACAATGTGTTTTTTTTGGGGTGCTTGAAAGCAGCCCCGGATTTCCTCAGGTGAGTTGGGCAACGGGGCCCTGACTCAGACTTTCAGTTGCAAAAGGAGTAACTGCCAACCTAAGAGATTCTTTGGGGGGAAAAAAAACCCACCAAAATAAAAGAAAGCAAAAAAAAACCAACCCAGTGCCCAACAAACACTGGGCCTCGAAAAGAGGGGGGTGTTTTTCTTCTTTAAAAACCCAAATTTTCAAGTGTAGAACAAACACTGGGGCCCCACAGCTTTGAAAACAGCAGAGTTCTTGTCTTTTAGGCTGTTTTTCTTTTTTAAAAATTGTTATTTTCAAGTGTGGATTCTAGTTTGGGACCTTTTATGGCCTTTTTTTTTTACTGCAAGAAGAACTAATCTATTCCTTTTTTCTCTCCCCAAGACTGTTAAAGTTTAAATGGATGAATGTTAAAGTCCTTCACTTTCTCAGGGTGCAGATATTTGGATTTAGATATTTGGTAGTGTGGATAAATTGTTCTATGGACAGTTTTATGATATTTTATGGATATCTGGTTATATGGACAATTTTATGACCTTTTTACTGAGAATTTTCTTTTAAAAATAGCTCTTTTACCTGTGAAGTCTTTATGTACTTACACATCTGTCACATATTCTGGGGAGAAATTAATCTTGATTCTTCTAACTTTTAATTAAGTGCCCTACCTGAGACCTTTTAATTTATTTTACATCAGGTGAAGGGGCAAAATGCTTGAATTCTGAGCTTTCTGACCTCTGCTGTGTGGTTTAAAATGGCCCAAGCAAGTTCTAAATTAAACATATCCTAAAAAAACATTGTCTCCAGAAACAGGAGAATTTAGAATTTTGAATTGGGGTGAATTCTGAATTTGAACTTGCTGGTTTACTTTGAAGCCAAAATATTTCTATTGGCATAAGCTGAGAAAAATCTGGATTTGTGTTGGATCAGCCAAGGGAGCAGTGAGAGGGAAAAAAAGCTGGGATAAGATGTGCCAAGAGCTTTTTCCAGGATTTGGGAAGGGTCGTGTCGGTGAAACTCCACACGGAGCCGAACTCCTCGTTCTGCCGGGTGGGAAAGCGAATTCCAACGTTGTTCTTCCCTGTTTTTTTAGGAATACATGGATCCCATGAACGAGTACAACGCCCTCAACGAGGCCAAGCAGATGATTGCAGTGGCAGATGAGAATCAAAACCACCACCTGGAGCTGGAGGAGATCCTGAAATACAGCGAATATTTCACCGGCAGCAAACTCATGGACTACGCCCGGAACGTCCACGAGGAATTCTGACCCTGCTCGCTCTTCCCAGAGCTCTGAAGCACTTTCTGGCTTTCAAAAAAAGGGGGAAAAAGGAATAAATCCAAGCCCCAAAAACAGACAGAAAGTTCCTTTGCTGCTAATCTGTGTTCTTTGCCTCCGGTGTGTTGTCCCAGACTTCCGACCTTCCGTCCGTCCACGGGATCTCGCTGCCTTTGGGGTGAGGGGAAACCAGGCCAGGAAGAGTGGGAAAGGTCCTGGAATACCTCAGTTCCCCCTGGATTGGGCAGGAATTCCAGCTGAAGTTCGGCAAATCGTATTTGGGGGAGGCTTCTGAAATATTTCACTTGTTGCCCTCGTAGCTGCTGATCCCTGGGAATCCCAGAGAACAGGGAGATGTTGGGTTTTTGGGAAGGGAGTGGCGGTTCCAAGGCATGTTCTGACCTCCTGGGAATACCCACGTGATATTCCACTCATCTCCCAGTGGTTTTCTCAGCCTAGTTGGGAATTTAATCCAAATTTTCCCTCCACCACTCGATTATCCTTCAGGACTGTGGGGAGGAATTTGTTTTAAAGGTTCCAGAGAAGCTTTTTTGCATCTACCTAAAAATAAACCTGGTTGTAGCATGACAGGCTTTGTTTTGGCAACTGCCCTGGGGGGAGATGGGGGAGAATTCAAATTATGGCTTTAAAAAAAAAAATCAGATTTTTGCTCTAAAACGAAACCAAGGGGGGAAAGTTTCTGTGTCTTGGCCAGAGAACTCCCTGTTCAGACTGGTAAAATCAGTTGTCTCTGTGCAAATTGGAGCTGAATTGGAGGAAATTGCTGAAAGGGGGAGAATTCCAGGCTTTGCTTGGGAGCTGTGAACATTTGGGAAGCCCTTGGATCAACCTGGATCTGGGTAATCTCTGGGAGCATCTTGGCTCACATCCACTCCTGCAAAAATAGAACAGTTATTTTTACTCTGGTTCCATCTTTACTGTAAAAAAAAAAAAAAACCCTCTTTCTGAAGGGTTCCTGCAAGTGAGATGTTATATTTGATTAAATTTATTCTCTTAATATAATGTAAATATAAGTGTTGCCAGTTCTGTTTCACTCTTCCTTCTCTTTAAATTTTTTTTGTTTTATTAAATGGCTTGTATAAGAGTCTTTTTATATCCATATATCTCTTTTTTCTTTTTTTTTTTTTTTCCATTAAATATTTTGCTCCCTTTGGAAATGGTGCTGGGTTTGGGTTTGTGGGGAAAAATGAAACCCTTATTAATTAAAATACAATTTTAAAAATGGAAGAGAGGGATAAATTCCATTGATAATCTCATATTAAAATGAGCTTAAAGACAGAAATGTTAGTAATATCAGTTGATAAATGTATGTCCTGAACTTTAGCTGTTAATATATGCCAAGATCATTGAAATTTGGGAATTAGATGATGCTTAAACCACCTTAATTAATCTGACAACATAAGCAGGGAACCTCTTGGAAAAGGGATCCACGAGGTTATTTCTGGCTTGGAATTTTAAGTTCAAACTATTCCAAGTTTGCCAGGAAACTTATTTTTAAGAATTCAAGTGTTTTATATGTATTTTTCTATTTTGTATTGATATTAATAATTTCTCTTGGGCTCAGGATGGTCCCAAAATGGGCAGAGGTTTGGCTGCTCCCTGTGTTCCAGTTCAGGGAGAGGGGACTTCTGGAAAGAAAGATTTCAAGCTATAACTTCTTTTCCACAGGGATTGTCTTCCCAAATCCTTGGAAAGTGGGAGAAGTAGTAAAACAGTGGCTGTTTTGCCTCTTCCAGAAATTTAGGAGAGAAAAGAGAAAGCGGCAGCTCCGGATAAATCCCAGTGTGATGTCGCTGTTCAGCCCTTCCAAACACTGCAGGAAAAGTGCAATTCCAGAATTCCTGGCATTCCAAGTGAGTCTCCTGTGCACCTGGATGTGCCTTGGGAAACCTGGCTGTGTTTTTTTAATTTAAATTAAACCTAAATCAGAAATTTGCTCCTCGTGGGACATCTTCGCTTGGGCTTTTCGCTCCGGTCTCGGAAAGACCCAAAATTTCATTCCAGCAGGAAAAGCAGGGATGGAAGAGGCTGAGAGGCTCCCTGGCATGGCAGCTGTGCCCCCACCCAACACCAACAGGCAGAAAAAGCAGGGAGCACGTTAAGAATTATTAAATTTAATTGTTTGGTCTCTCAGAATTGGACTCGTTTGGGCAAGGAATGAAATTTGCTCCTGAGACTGGAGCAAAACGCCCGAGTGAAGAATTTCATTCCTTGCCCAAATGAGTCAAATTTTGGAGAGAAAGATTTCAAGCTATAACTTCTTTTCCATAGGGATTGTCTTCCCAAATCCTTGGAAAATGGGAGAAGTAGTAAAACAGTGGCTGTTTTGCCTCTCCCAGAAATTTAGGAGAGAAAAGAGAAAGCGGCAGCTCTGGATAAATCCCAGTGTGATGTCGCTGTTCAGCCCTTCCAAACACTGCAGGAAAACTGCAATTCCAGAATTCTTGGCGTTCCAAGCGAGTCTCCTTCACACCTGGATGTGACTTGGGAAGCCTGGCTGTGTTTTTTTAATTTAAATTAAACCCAAATCAGAGATTTGCTCCCCGTGGGACGTCTTTGCTCCAGTCTCGGGAAGACCGAAAATTTCATTCCTTGCCCAAACGAGTCAAATTCTGAGAGACCAAACAATTAAATTTAATAATTCTTAACGTGCTCCCTGCTTTTTCTGCCTGTTGGTGTTGGCTGGGGGCACAGCTGCGATGCCAGGGAGCCTCTCAGCCTCTTCCATCCCTCCTTTTCCTGCTTTTCCTGCCGTTCCCAGCCTGGAATTCTTTGCCGCTCTTTTGGAGTCGCCACGTGGAGAGCTAAGAATAGAAACCTCCTCAAAATGCAACTCAGCATCTTGCCTTCCTGCCTGTTAATCTTTTCAGTGATGAACTGTAAAAAAAAAAAACCCTCCAGGCTCGGGGGGGGGTGGGGGGAAAGGGAGGGGGGGGGTGGGAAGAAGGAAGGGGGCGTGGAAAACTCGCCGGGAATTTCCCAGCACCCGAAATATCAATTTGTTCTGGTGGCTCCGGGGCTGCGAAATCGCTTCTCCCCGAGCGCACAGATCTGGCTGGGACGGTCATGGCACCTTCAAATGGGAATTTTCCCCCTGTTTTCTTGCTCCTGCTGGTTGCTGTTCCCAATTCCTCGGGATTGGAATGCAGGGAACACCAATACCCTTACCGGGATAAATGCTGCAGTGACTGTGCCCCGGGTAAGTTGGGTTCTGTGGGAAATCTTCTTTATTGGGAAGCCAGGGGTGGTATAAAAACAGCTTTCTAGGAATATTTTGGGATATTAGGATTTATTTAAATATATACAAGGATATATTTAAATATATACAAGGATATATTTAAGGCTAGAGGAAGGAAAACAGAGAGAAAATTTGGTGAGGAGCTTTTTTTCTTTCTATAACATAAAAAGCCTTTCAGATTTATTTTCTTTCTATAACGTACAAAATTTAGGGATCTTCCTTTTATTCTTTAATTTCTGTGTCTCTAATGTGTCAGTCAAGGGCATTTTCACTTTGAGAGTGTTGTCTGAATAAAAAAAAAGTGGTGGCATTTGTTATTGCCTTTTATCACATAAAGAACCTCGGAAGTTGTAGATAATAATGAGAATTATTAATTCTGTTGCTAAAGGTGTTTTTTTAAGCTTTTTCCTTTGTAGCAGAGTTTATATCACTCACGTTTAAGGAAAAAAATCATTGTTCTTGGCTCATAGAGATCAGCAAAGTGTAACAAGGTGGGTTTTTTTTAAGGAAAAATATTTGATTCATAGATGAAAATGAGCAAAGTTACTCTACAGGGACTGTATTTGTTTCCTCCTTTCATCTTGTAGAGATTGAATGAGTTTTTTTCCACAATCCACGAGTCTCCAGGAGGGATTTCAGCCTTTTGTCAGGAAAAACCAGCTTGGTTTTCCCTCCTTACTTCTTATTTTCATAATTAAATCTATCCCTGAGATGGAGCTGGGGTGAACTGATGCAGGAGTTTTATCCTCCACGATGCTAACTGGGCTAAAATCAGCCTTTAATCTTAAGATTTGAGGCAGTTTGTTGCCTTATTCTCGAAACTCTTTAAAATCTGAGTGTTTGTGAACTCAAGGCACGTTTGTGGGCAGAGACAGATAAATAACACTTTTATCTCTCACATTTTCTTCCCCCTTAAACTGAAAAAAACCCTCTTATCAGGTTTTTGCATTGTTAGAAAATGTGCTGCCGTTGGGGAAACGTTTCTTCACAGTCTCTTCCTCGTGTAGATAGTAAAAATGTCATTTATTGCACACACTATGCTCCCTAATAATCCTAATTTTGCCACTCAGCCCTCAGTAAAACAGAATTAGAGTGAGCAAGAGGCTTGATGCTCATTCACCTGCAGGTGGGAAAACAGAGAAGCAAAATGAAGGGAACAACCATTTTTGTCCCTGATTGGGGTTATTTGGGCTGAATTGCATTATTTTTATATTTATATTTATTATATTATTACATATTTATTATATTTTTATATTTATTATATAAATGTATAAATATATATATTTAAGTCCTAAAGGAAGGCAGGTTCTGTCACATTGTACTACACAGGAAGTCAAACTTATTGCTGTGCTAAAAACCTGCTTTTTTCCTGCCACTGGCTGCAAACTGAGATGTCCAAATTACATGGAAAAGTGGTTTGGAGAAGGGTTATTTGGGATCTGCTGGGAGAATCATTTGGTTTGTGAATCCTCAGCCTTTTTTTCTGCTGCTGCCTGCAAACTGAGATGTCCAAACCCTGTGGAAAGATGGTCTGGAGAAGGGATATTTGGGATCTGCTGGGATATTTGGGACATTTTGGATATTTGGGGCATTGCCTCAGCTCTCAGGCCCTTTTTATCCCACTTTAGCTGCACAGTGGTGCTGTGGGTCAGAGTTTTTTGGCATGTTGGGATCTTAAAACCTGCTGAACGTTCTCAGGCAGAGCTGGAAGTGGGACCGGCACACTCAGGGCACTGTTTTGTCCTAATCCATGGAAATGTGTTATCCTGTGAAAACAAAAATCCTAATTCATGAAAAAAAAACAGGGAAAAAAGAGGATTTTGTGGTGATACCAAGCAGTTTGTGCTCTGTGATCCCTGTTTTAGGGCAGAGGATGAGGAACCGCTGCACGGCCACGGCAGACACGGAGTGCATCCCCTGCCAGGACGAGTATTTCAGCAGTGAGCACCACCACAGCTTCTGCAACAGCTGCACAGTCTGCAACACCAGTAAGGCACTGGCCAGGGGGGGATTTCCTCCCACAAAGTTGGGAAGAATCCGCCTTTATTTGCTTTCTCAGCTCCAACCCACAGTCTGGGGTGTGCCAATGTCTGATCCCGCCTGCTCCGGGCTTGTGGTGGGGCCTGAAAACTCCTCAGGGTTGTTCTCTGTTCCCTACAAGTGTTTCCACACATGGTGGGGGATTAATTTGTGTTCTCAGTGTTAGTTTAGGTTGAGGATGAGGGAGAGAAAGTGAATCATGAAACCAGTATGATAAAAAGTCGTGGCACTGGGTTTAATTGGGGCATGTCATTAAGATAATCCTCTTTAGCTTAGAAACCTAGTGCTGGTTCATAGCTTCTTAATAATTAGGATGTTAGAGGTGAAGATCAGTTTTCCAGATGTGTTAAAGGGGCTGATTCCACTACAATGGGTATGAAGCTGTGGTTTGCCCCACAGATTTCTGAGCATTGGCCATAAAAGATTCCAGGACGGGTTGGGATAAAAGAGGTTTGGTTTATTCGTCCCGGAATTGCATCGGTTTTTACACCCAGACAAGGTACAGCTCAGGAATGGAGAACTTCATCAGCTGTAACAATAATTCAAACAGGAGAATCTCTTGTCTCTCACTTGCCTTTTAATCCTTTTTTTTTTTTTTAGAGAGGGGGAGCGTGGAAGTGAAGAAGTGCGAGAAGACCTCGGACAGGGTGTGTGTGTGCCGGGCAGGGTTCATGCCAGCTGGGCTGCCCCTGGGAAGTGGTGAGTCAGGGATCAGAGAATCACAGAATCATAGAATCAGCTGGGTTGGAAGGGACCTCTGAGATCATCAAGTCCAACCCTTGATCCAACCCCACCGTGGTTCCCAGCCCATGGCACTGATGCCACATCCAGTCTTATCTTAAACACCTCCAGGGATGGAGAATCCACCACTTCCCTGGGCAGCCCATTCCAATGGCTGATCACCCTCTCTGCAAAGAAATTCTTCCTAATATCCAACCTAAACCTCCCCTGGCACAGCTGAAGACCCTGAGCCCTCTTGTCTTGCTGAGAGTTGCCTGGGAAAAGAGACCAACCCCCCCTGGCTCCCCCCTCCTGTCAGGGAGTTGCAGAGAGTGAGGAGGTCTCCCCTGAGCTTCCTCTTCTCCAGGCTGAACAGCCCCAGCTCCCTCAGCCTCTCCTCACAGCACTTGTGCTCCAGTCCCTTCCCCAGCCTTGTTGCTCTTCTCTGGACCTGCTCCAGGACCTCAATGTCCTTCCTGAACTGAGGGGCCCAGAACTGGACACAGCACTCCAGGGGTGGCCTCACCAGTGCTGAGTCCAGGGGAAGAATCACTTCCCTGGCCCTGTTGGCCACACTGTTCCTGAGCCAGGCCAGGATCCATTGGCCTTCTTGGCCACCTGGGCACACTCTGGCTCCTGTTCAGCTTCCTGTCCATCCACACTCCCAGCTCCCTCTCTGCCTGGATGTGCCAGGCTCTCCCACCTCTTACCTCCCCACCAGGTTGAGGTGGTTGTTTCCAGTGTAAAAAAACCCAAAACTATTGTCATTTGTCTCCTGTTATTTCCAGTGTAAAAGCTGCTGACATTTATCTCTTGGAGATCTCCCCACGAGGGGAGTTGTTCAAACTTGTTGCTCTGTGGTTCCTGTCAGAAACAGGAACATTCTCCTTGGTAATATCCATCATTTACCAGGAAATCCTGCACTTGCAGATTAAAACCAACCCCTGAGCGTGCTGTGTTACTTCTGGCCCAATATCTCGGATTTTTAGAGGCTTTTATTGGGTCTGTTCTACAAGCCAGACCATTCTAAGTTATTATTTCATTTTTGTGCAGCTGTCACACAGTTGTGTTGCTCACTGAGCTCACACCCTGCCTGCTTTATTCCCTTTTTTTCTAGTGTGTTCACCGTGTCCTGAGGGGACTTTCTCCCCAGGAAGGAACGAGAAGTGTCAGCCTTGGACCAAGTAGGTGTCACTGATCCAGAGGTATCCAGAGCTCTGTTCTGGCTTTACATCTTTAGCCAAAAAAAATCAGGATGTGCAGAATAAACCTGCAGTAGGGGCAGTGAAAACCCTGTTCCTTGTGGCTCTCAGGAGCCTGTGCTGGTTTGAAGCCTTTGGCCCTTTCTCTCTTCACCTCCAATAACAGAATTCTCAGCCTTTTTTTTTTTTTAAAGATTTGCATGTTTTGTTTCTATATTAAAGGTTCCCCTGGCCAGGTGCAGCTGTGCCCCTGGGCTGTTACCTGTCAGGAAATCCCAGTAGGATTCTTTTTCCAGTAATAACTTGGATTGCCTCAGTTGTTCTCCACATCTCTGTGCACTCTAGGAAAAATAAACCTGAGTTTGTCCTGCTCAGACAA